CCTACATTCCACAAGAGAGGAGGAGCAGGAGATTTTAGGAAATGATAATGAAATCAGGTAATGAGGTAGTAGGCATTTGTTGGATTCCTCCAAACAGAAAAAATAAGATCTGGGGTGAGTCATTTAACCACGTGAGCCTCTTATTTCATTTATGAAATGGAAATCTCATTACTTCAGGGGGCTGTACATGAGGTGCCTGGAAACTGTCACTGTCCAGAAGGTAAGTCCCCTCCCTTCCCTTCCTGTCCCTACTCCTTCCTTCAGTCTCTTTCTTTGGTGACCCAGGGTGACTTAAGCATAGGATTTTAGCACAGTTGAACTAAACCAGACATTTCAACCCACTCAGCCTGTTTTATGAGAAAGAAAAATAAGAGAGGGAGTAGAAGAAGGGAACAGTTAAGCATCATAACATGCCTCTTGAATTAAGGATGTGAGGTAATGCGGTAAAACCACAATTTAAAATACATTCAGGAGGGACGTATGTGGCATAATCCCATATGAATGCATAATTACACCCTAAGTCTTTTTTTTAAGTAATTACATATTTTCTGACTGTATATATGTAAAATAAACACATCAAGTTAAGTGCTTTAAAAAGAATTTCAGAAAAATAACCAGCACATGCTCAGATAAAGGAGGGAAATAATTCCATAATCCCATGAGAAACATGATATAAAGATAGTTGCTCCACTTGAGTGTTAAACTTAAATCTGGGCTTCCTGGAAACCCATGTAAATAAGAAAGTAAATTGGGATATGTAGCTCTTAGTTTTTTTTTTTTTTAAAAAAAGTTTCTTTCTCTCACAAGAAAATATTCTTTCTTAGGCTCCCAGTGTTGAAGAAGGTAAGCTATTAAAAGCACTTGCCTCCTTCGTTAGCTGTCTCTTAGAAGGTGCTCTTTGTTGTTCTGTTTTGCAGAATGAAGGACGTTACCCTTCAGCCCTTCAAGGGATTAAAAAACTTTTTTAAAAAGGCACCAGAGAAGGAGATATTTGAGTCCTGGATTGAATTTAGGGACAAAGGGATTCAAGAATCAGGAATCAGAAGAGAAGTCTGAAAGGACTGAGCAGAGAAATGTTCAGAAATGCACAGGGTGTCTCCAGGGCTAGAAGACAGATACTGAGCAAAGAGAGAACAGGGACCAGAGAACAACAGAGCAGCAAGAAGGGGACATACATTGGACACTCACTATGCACTAGGCAAAGTGCCCAGAACACAGGAGTAATAAGAAATGGACTGCCTTCAAGGACCTGCAGACAGATCAATGCTAAAAGGACCACAGTGCACAGATACTTGGCACACCGAGCAGAAGGTGACTGCTCTGTCCGGATGACATGAGGACCGAAGGACTTGACAGGATGAGCAGGAACTGCCCGTCAGGGGCTGAGGAAAGAAGGCTTCTGGTGGGCATGGCCATGCTCAATCACCACTCATCCTTGGAGGGTCAGTTTGGTCATCCCTTTTCCTGGAAGATATTTCCTGGACATCAAAATCCAGGGAGGGACTCCATAGCCACCCCTACTTACC